AATACAAAGCTAGGTTCTTAGGTTCTCTGGCCAAGAATGCCTTCTGGCAACAAGGAGGTGCATATCTATCATCCAGCCCTGAGCTGTGGTATAATTTTTAGATGCTTACTCCCCTACAGTGCTCACCTCTCCCTAACTTCATTCAGTTACATTTAGTCACCTGCCTCTAGCCCTTCCTGTTTCTTGGTCTTTGTAGCTACATGAATTTGGAAATTTCACTCTAAAGGTTGGTGCTAATGTTTTGTCTATTGTAAGGATTCTAATCGTGCACGGCATACATCCTGATATACTGTATCAGACACATTAGTCAGCACTCACATGTTTGGATAAAGCTCTTGAATTTACTGTTATCAAGGAAAATATAGAGGTACACAAAGAAACAGGAATTTAATTTAAGCTTTGAAGATAACAAATGTATTTGACTAATATGCAAATAAAAGAGAAACAATATTTGATACAAAAACATTCCATATTTAATGCTCTTTTTATATTTATATTTTATATTTATATTTTTATATTTTCTTTAATCTCTGACAGTTCACTTAATCTTTCTGAGACTCAGTTTCACCACAATGTGTTTCATGGTGCTCTGCTGAAAATAATAGATAAATTACAGAGTACTATTTAAAAATATTAATTATTAACAAACAAAAGCTCCTGAAATAAACAAATCAATGTATAGGGCCAGGGCATAGTGGATCTTCCACTTAGAATGTAACCAAGTGCTTAATATAGGAACAAATGGTAGATAAGAATGGGGGCGCGGGGGAAGAGATACAGGAACACAATGGTAGATAAGAATGGGGAAAAGAGCTGCAGGTCAGATCCAGCCAGTCCTTCTCATTATTGTCAACTCAATGTTGAAAGCTATCCACTGCACCACGAAATTCACCACTGGATGTTGCAAAACCCAAGTAGAAAGACACAAGCTTTAAACAGCTCAGCATGGACTCTAACACTAAACATTAATCAGTTTGTTAATAATTCTAAATTTCAGCTTCCTTATCTATAAGACGAAGGTGGCATAGCATGGAAGTCATTTTAAACAGTGAAATGAGCACATACAAATAACACATATGAACCATGCACCATTATTCTAGGCACACAGCAGACACTCCTCTACACCACCCTGTGATTACCACCATCGTCTGCCATTCTCCGGCCTTGCTTTCTGTCTGCTTGCCTTTTCCTCCTCTGTGCTTGTCTCTTTCTTCTTCATGGGACTCTTTTGCCTCTCTGCCTATCTCCGTACTTTCAACATGTGTTTACTGAGATTAATCTCACTTGGAAGCATATACTATAAGCCAAGCACACTAGCTTTATTTAAATACAGCTGCCCCGTGCCCTTTAAAGCACTTCAAATTTATGTGCCAGTGAGCAGCACTCCTCCATGGTCTCTACTTCAGTTCCCACCTCCAGACCTCTGCATGGAGTTCTTCCCCTAAATCCCCTCATGATAAACCGTAAGCTGAAATAAACACTTCCCTCCCCAAAGTTGCTTTATCATAGCAACAAAAAGCAAACCAGTGTAGAAATCAGTACCAGAGAGTGTGGGTACAGCTGTAACCAGCCTCACCATATTGGTTCCTTGAAGATTGGAGGTGATTTGGGAGGGGGGGGGTACTGTAGGTTTGAAAAGCCATTGAGTGTTTGGTTCAACCAACATCATGGGTTGTTCTGCAGGAGCTTGGAAGATAAGAGTGTTGAAAGAGATGCAAAACAACGGAGGCCTGGCTTGGGAAATTTCAGAGGCAATTAAGGACTCTATCATGGCTGCTCATATAATATCTTGAGTTGAGAATCTGTGCTTTCTTGTCAGCTAGGGCTGAAGAAGAAGCTCTCGTTAACCAGAGACCATAACTGAAGTGAAACCTTTGTTGTACTAGGACAAGTGATGTGGTTAGCTAGGGCTGAGAAACCAGTTGTAATTGAGCAAAGACCAGTCTGGTTGAGGTAAAATCTGCAAGGGAGTGTCTCCTCAGGGTCATCACCCAGAAGCTGTGATCCACAGGGGTCAATGACACATCCATCACATGCTGGTAGCCAAATCTGGTAGTGTGCGAGAGTGCCCACATGTTTGTTAACTGGTTTGAGTAGCATGAGCGCTGTAGGATTGAGGGAGTCACGGAGAGAAGCTGAGGCTTGGCACTGTGAGGGCCAAAGAGAGGCCAAAGACACCATTGGTAAAATGACAACCTCAATGGCAGTGGAAACCCTAGGACTGAAATGGCAGTGGAGAGAAGCTAAGGACTGGTACTGGGTGGCAGAGTTGGAGGCCCTGAAGAGAGGCCAAGAGAGGTGGTTGGTAAGAGTGCAGCCTCAGCATGTTGTAGATGCCAAGACCATGTGACAGCCACAAAGAACAGCAGCAGATGTGGAGTGAGCAGGGCTGAGCCTACAAGACAGGGTGTGTGTAGGGTTGTGTTGTGGAGACTAACACCAGAGAAGTGGAGCTGCCTAAGCCCTTTACAGCCCAGAGGATTTTGGGACCTTGAGCTAGTTATACTGTTGAAGTTTGGTTTTGCTTTGGTTTTACTGTAACTATGCCCTGGTTCTTCCCTCTTGGAATAGAAGTATTTAACTTGTTTGTTGGTTTTTAATTTTGTAGAAACCCATAGTTGAGAGACTTTGGATTTGTCAAGAGTTTTTAAAGAGAACTTGGTCTTCTAAAATGCTTAAATTTTTAAAGACTCTGGGATTTTTAAAGTTATATTATGTTTCATACTGTGATAGCAACAAGGGATCTTGGAGATATACAGGAAAGGAAAGGTTATTGACTTAGGAGTGATTTGTTTGTCAGGGTGACAAGGGGTCAGTTGTGCTGGCTAGTTTTCCATCAGCTCGACACTAGCTGAACTCATCTGAAAAGAGGGAAATTCGATTGAGAAGATGCCTACCAGACTGACCTATAGGCAAGTCTGGGGTGGGGGGCATTTTCTTGATTAATGATTGATGTGGGAGGGCCTAGCCCACTGTGAGTGGTACCACCCTTGGAAGGTAGTCCTGGGTTATATAAAAAGCCAAACTGAGAGAGCCAGGGGGAGTTAGCCAGCAAGCAGTAGGCTTCAGTTCCTGGTTCCGGTCCTGCGCTGCTTAAGTTCCTGCTCTGACTTCCTTTCATGATGGACCGTAACCTAGGAGTTGCAAGATTAAATAAAGCCTTTCCTCCTTCAAGCTGCCTCTGGACATGGTGTTTTATCACAGCAACAGAAAGCAAATGGGTACAAAAGATACAGCTGGTTAGGTATTACTGCCAATTTGACATAACCAAGAGTCATCTGGGAAAAAGGAACAATTGAGGAATCTCCCAGTTCAGACCTGCCTGTATTAGTGCCTGAGAAGGGATTGTTTTGATAGGTAGTCTGTGTGACAGAGCCTGGCCCGCTGTGGATAGCACCATGCCTCAGCAGGTCAGCCTCGGCTGCACAAGAAACCAGCTGATCAAGTCAGAAAGAGAACCAGGAAGCACAGTTCCTCCATGGTTCTTTTCTCTAAGTTTCTACTTAATTTCCTGCCCTGACTTCCCTCAATGATGGATTATAATCTAGAATTTAAGCTAAATAAACCCTTTCCTTCCCAAGTTGTTTTTGGTCAAAATGTTTTATAACAGCAACAGAAATCAAATTAGAACAAGAAAGGTGTGGTGATATTGTGTTCCCCAAAATATTGTACACCCTAATATACTTATCTGGGGTCAGAGAACAGAACAGCCACTAGATATAAAGGCCAGAAAATGGTGGCACACACACCTTTAATCCTATCACTCCAGAGGCAGAGATCCGTGTGGATCTCTGTGAGTTTAAAGCCACACTGGAAACAACCAGGCATGGTGACACACGCCTTTAATCCCAGGAAGTAATGGCAGGAAGCAGAAAGGTATTTAAGGCGTGAGGATGAGGAACTAGGCCTAGTTAAGCTTTTAGGCTTTTGAGCAGCAGTTCAGCTAAGATCTATTCTGGATGAGGACTCAGAGGCTTTCAGTCTGAGGAAAACAGGATCAGTTGAGGAACTGTCAAGGTGAGGAAGCTGTGACTTGTTCTGCTTCTCTGATCTTCCAGCGTTCACCCCAATACCTGGCTCCAGGTTTGTTTTTATTAATAAGACCTTTTAAGATTCATGCTACAGGAAGGTAGACAGGTAGTTAAGGGTAGAAGATAAATAATAGATGATAGATAGATAGATAGATAGATAGATAGATGATAGACAGATAAATAGATAGAGATTATGATTACAGATAGATGATACAGATGGATGGTACATAGGTAATTGATAGAAGTAGACAGATGATAGAAAGGTAGAGATAGAGAAATTAATAGATATAGAACGTAGATGAATTTCTAAGCAGTCTTATTAAATAAAAGACATGGAGCCAAATATAAAGGTGAAAGCCTTAGCGATCAGGGAAATAGGAATAGCCACCAACTAACCTTATCTCACCACACCGCAACTTCCAAAGTCTTAGAAACCCCAGCTACAATAGAATAGTTGTATAGACAAATACTAGACTATAGATAACTGTGATGAGTAATTAATAGAGATAGATAGACAGGTAGTAGGTACATAGAAGATAAAATAGATAAGTGATACATAGACAGATAACAGATGGATAAATGATAGAAATTGATGATTGACATAGATGATAGAAGGTAGACAAATGATAGATAAGAAATGGATGACTAATAGCCACAGGTAGACTGTTGATAGGCAGATACATAGAAGATAAACATATAATTGCTGGAAGTAGACAGACAATAGAGATAGCATATTGATATAAGTAACAGAAGACAGAGACAGAGGATGAGATAGATGATTGATAGATTTTATAGTCAGACAGATGAATTATAGATCATCTTTATTGCCAGGCAGCACATGGAGCCAGTTATCTACTGAAATGGATCAGTGTACACGAAATCAAAAGGATCAATGCCCCCCCTGTAACAACGACAGCATGACAGTGAATATCCTTGGTGAGTGTCTGAGCATGTCCTCTCTGCCCTCAGGTCGACGCCCATGGCAATATTCTCCTCAGCACCCTGGAAATCAGGAATGAGACCAGCGGCTCCGAGGTGCTCACAGGTGTGAGTGACCCCAAGGCCACCATGTACTCGTACGACAGTGCCAGCATCCAGTACCGCAAGCCGCTGAGCAGCCGTGAGGGCTTCGGGCGCGGGCTGGACAGGCACGGGGTGCCCGGCAAGGGGCGCATCCGCAGGCGCGCCTCGCAACTCAAAGTGAAGATCCCTGACTTAACTGATGTGAACTCCATAGACAAGTGGTCCCGAATGTTTTTCCCCATCACCTTTTCTCTTTTTAATGTCGTTTATTGGCTTTACTATGTACACTAAGGTCAGTCTCATGGTTTCGTTTAGACTCTCTTCCTTGGCTTGTTTTCTAACCCCACAGGTTCCCAACAGCGCTCACTGCTGTGGTTTTTGAGGTAAGAGATTCAGCCATGCAATTGGTTTTCGTGTCAGTGTTTATTACCACACCATGTTTACTTCAACAACAACAACAACAACAAAAGGGTATTTTTTCCTGTCTACTGTGGTCCAGGTTATTAGCTCTGTAAGAGTTCCGTCGATTGCTTTGTTTACAAACACAAGAGAGAGAGGTAGATGGGTGGTAGCTAATGTTGGCAGTCTTTCCCAGTTGCCCTGGATCTTACCGAATAATTTGAAAATGAAAATGTACAATGGACCTTGCTGTCCACCTGCACTGTGTTCTGAGTAAACTGTAATCATCTCATTCTGCCAAAAACAAAACAAAAAAAATGTTTTAATAACAAGAAAAAGAAAAAAAAAAACCTAACTTCAGCATCTCAGAAGAATAAAGCCATTGATAAGCTGCAGGTTTCCAGGAAGTGGGGATATAATACTGACAGTTTCCCTCCCCTCTGAAGTTCTCCTGAGTCCCTTGAAAAGGCTTCTCAGCTCTATAGAAGAGGGACATCAAAGCTAGTGTCAGTCACCTTTTCTCCCAAACTCACCCTCCATCCAACAATGACCATGGATATCCTTACCAATGCTTCTTTCTCAAACTGCCCAGATGTTCAAAGTTAGTATTAGAATCCAGCCTGATCTAACTGGTAGTCAGTCACTGAGAACATTTTTCTTTTCTTCTCAAGAATAAAGAGTTTCGGGGACAATCAATATTTTTCTGGCTGGCCGTTATAGAAAGCAGCCCTGACTCTCCTTCATGAGCCTTAGAATCTCCTGATGCCATGAAACCATGTGATCATATTTCCACAGTTCCTGCTCCAGAAAAAGGAGAGAGAGGATATGTGGGGTCCAGACGCCAGTGAGGGATTTGAAGGAGGTAGAGACAATTTTTTTTCTCAAGGAAAATTTATTTCTCTGAGAAAGGCAAGACTTACATGTTATGAGAAGGGTGCCTGAGCAGTTATCCACACTGCCAAGTCTTAAGTCAAATTGTATGTTTTGCTTAGCCTTCCAGAGAGCAGCATCTAATGGCAACAAACTCATCACACAGGACTCGACTGGAACTTCTTTATTTTGTTCTCTGAGCTCTGCTCTCAAACTACAAAATGGATGGCCCAGGAAATGCTCATCCACCACGTCAGTGTCTTCCTCCAAAGCCAGATTTCCAGCTTAAAAAAAAAAATCTTTATTAAAGCAAAATCACAGAAAGAGAAGAAACTCATAATGACAAAATACCGAGCCTTTAACCATGCACACCAGCCCCTGAAGTGTGGACCCTGCCTGTCTACACTCATTAATCACTGTCATTATTGCACAGCCTCTTCTGTGCTCATGGATGACTCTGGGTCGTGGTTCTCATGACTTTCAGTAAGGCAACACAATTCTAAACATGCTCAACAAGCTGCTGTTGAGTTCTTCCCATTTTGTGTCATTAAAACCTCATTTTCTTTCGGAATGAGCTTGTCAAATTATATATGTTTATTTGCAAGGTTGAGTGAGACCACAAATTGACTAACCACGGATGGAGGCCATTTTGGTACAGGACCCATGCACGGGATGAGGAAATGAAGGAGTAATCAGGATGACTGCCTCATTGGATAGTCTGGCTCTCCTCTCAGAAGAGAATCAATGTGCAGAGTAGTGGGAGCTGCTACAATTACTGCCACAATGGGAAAGGGAAAGCTGAAATTCCTATGAATGAGCCCAAGGGGAGAATAGGAAAAAATACAGTTAGAAAGCAAGAGGAAAAGAGAAACCTTAAATGAGTGAATGGGGCTAGATGTAATAACAGACACTAGTAAAAATATAAAAGTCCCACCACACCTTTAAAAAACAAAAACTGATCACAGCAATTTCTTGAAGAGTGCTGGGATTTTGAGGACAAATTCTCACTTAGGTTTTTAGGAAGTGTGAACACGCTTCCCAGGCTGAGCAATCCTCAACCTGTGGTCACGGGGTCATCCATGCATGGAAAGCTCTGCTCAGTTCTCAGCAGGCTGAGATGCCTTGCCATGGATAATGCCAGGACAGAGTAGAACGTGGTCCTGTCTGTAACGGGAGCTTCCTGTTGCCTATAAAGACTCAGGAACCACTTTGCAGTCATTTAGTTTAAACATTAGAAAGGGAAATTAGGTGCCTGATGCTGAACAGAAATTAATCATTCTGATGTCAAAGCTGTTTAAAAGGCTTTTAAGACAGGAATACTGAATCTAGAGAAGTATCTACTTAAATCTTCTCATAAAAGATTGTGATAATTTGTTTTTTCAGTACTACATTTTCCTTTTTAAAATCTAAAGTGATTTTGTTATAGTTTTAGATATAAAGCATCTTCAAAAAAAACATTTTGAACTCCTACATTTTAACCTTTTAAAATGTAAAAGTGATTAGACCTGAAATGCCCACTGGGCATGAATGGTATGGGGATCACAGCCATGATTATGCAAATCCGATCAAATGGCTTTGATCTCAGAGGCAAGGGAAGCCCACAGCATTGAAAAGCTGTCGTGCTTATGGGTCACGATCTTTGTCCTAACTTCTGAACACATCCCGGACTAATCCTTTCCTCTCTGCTCCCTTCACAAGCCAAACACTGACAGGGAAGCACCTTTCTTCTCTGGCTTTCTTCCTCTTCTTGCCCTAAATGTTGTAAATAGAACATAAAAGTTATTAAACATTCTGAAATGTCCTCACACTGGCCCCCATTCTTGAAAGATTCAGATTACATTATACAAAGGTTATTGTTATTATTGAGTTGATTTCTTTTGCCCTGGAAATAGCCAAAATCCCCTGCATCAAGGAACAGAAGAAACTGAAACCGCAAGACTCCCTTATGCCCCATTTACACCCAGAGAGCCCCATATTTCACAGTTCAGCTGTGGGACAGATTGTGTGGAAGACTTACCCTGCTGTGAGCAAGGGAGACATCACACCTTTTACTTAACAATGCTGACTGCACACTTATCCCTTCTTCTCAGATTTTTTTTCCTTGGCTGGAAATGTCAGATGTTCCTTCCAGTTAGCAGTTCTCTGAGGCAAAGACCCAGGTAAAGGCTTATTTCTGCTTGAATAATCCAGGATTAGTATCTCCATCTCCTCTGTTGCCAAATAAAAACAGCAGCTGGCAGACACGTCTGCTGAGTGAATAAGCTGTGTTTGTGCACACACCACCTTTATTGTGCATTACAGTCAGTGATGGATCTTAAAAAGTCAATGAAAAAAATGTGGTGCAGAGAAAAAGAGTAATAGTTCCAGGGTCCAAAAGGCTGGGATTTCCTTAAAAAACAAGTCATAGAAAATTGACAAAATTCCATTGTCCTAAAGTCAACAACTATTTTATGAATGTTTGTTTAGAAAGGGTTTGACTACAATCTGCCAAGTTAAACCAAAAAGATACAGGCTAGTCCTTCTAGAAGGAAACGGTCTCCAAGATTTCTCCTGTCCAAAATTTTGAATAGTATCTTGTCAAAGGGGGGTGCGCTGCCGTTTGTTTATTAAAGTATAATGACATATCCTAGGAAGGGGTGAAAGGAGTGTGCAAGCGTTGGCTCAAGATGGTTCAGTCAGCAGTTTCTGGGTTGAACTGAAGAGACAAACATACATCTGAAAAAAAAAAAAAAACGCAAAGGTCCATTTGTTTTTGGAATGTAGAGTACTGTGTAAAATTCCTTGTAAATTCTGTACATAGTTCACTGAACTGTTCCCTGTGGTGTGGTGGTCCTCAACTTTGGGTGGATGTTTGAAAAACCTGAGCACTGTAAATAATGTAAGCTTACGAAGCATTTGCTTTTATTCATAAAGTGAAATGATTAGTGATTTGGGCCCAAACCAGAATCTCTCCAGCTCTTGCTCTTTCATGCATTCAGTCATGTGACTCTGCTGTAAGCCATAGCCAGGTGTCTGTGATCACTGCCTCATGCCTTTACCCACTCAAAGGGACAGCAGCTGCCTAGAAGGCTGCCAACCTGTGGGGCCAAAGAACAGAGCACCAGCAGAAACCGGAACCGGAGCAATCTGCTCCTTGAACAGTCATGAAAAGCAGATACGCTGTTTTCAGTCACTGTGGCTATTTGTATCAAGGACTGAATTACTGATGCTGCTTCAGGGGTCAGGGATGGAGGGGATGCTCAAAATCCACAGGTAATCCAAAGCTTAGTCTACACCAATAGCTTTAGCATCTAACTTCTTTTCCACTACATTTTCTAGAACTTCTAATAAGACTAGAAATGAATAGAATTGATGGGTTTGATCAGGGTGAACAATAAATATCCACAGGATAGGCAGGGGTACAGGGAGAGACAAGAAATGTCCTGGATAGCACCAGGTGGCAGACACATACCCGAAAGGTACAGAGGTAACTATGTCCTTACTTTTAAAGGTAGAGAAAAATTTTGGTATGAACTGATCAAGGAGGCAAACACAGGTATTTAACTTGGGGGAAGGGTATGTGCAGTGTGAGCTGCTTGAATTTGAAGAACCTGGTAATTAAAAGGTTCCAGATATTCTTTCCTCCAAGTTTTCTGAGTTCTTTCAAAAGTCTTCAAGATGTGGGCTGTTATGGCACGGAATGTGTTTCCATGCAAACTGGCAATCCCAGAGAGAGTGACAACACCAAAAGACATTCAAAATATCCAAACCATTGAAGACCGAGATTGGTTTCTCAGTGTTAGAGAAAAAGGTGCCCTCCCTGGAGGTAAAATCCTTTGTGTCATTTTACATGGTAGCAGAGTATACATGGGGAACTATTATTTTGGGACATTTTAATTCCAAGATGTGACCCACAACCACCTGAACACACCTTGCTGGAACTAATCCATTCTGCCAATTTTCAGGTTAGAACACACTGTGATTTTTACCTTAGCTTTTCTTCAGATAACACATCGGCTAGAATGATTGAAAGTGTAATTGTTGGGAGCTGCAGCAAGCATTTGATAGAAATTCCTTATAATAAATGAAATACAAAACAGAAAATATTCAATTCCTAGAAGGGTAGGAATGAGGATTCTGTGTTTGTTTTGACACCTCCCATGGCAGGAATTACCCATTAAAATTGAAGCAGTCTAACAGATTTTTCTTGTTTCTCTTTTACCTATTCAGAAGTCTTTGGCATATTAAGGGACTTGCATCAAGGGACTCAGAACCATTTTTTATTGGATCCCAAACCTCTTGGTATCATGGATTTATCACACACACACACACAAAAAAAAAAAATTCCAATGGGAATTCAAATTGGGAAAATTGATACTCCTGAACCAGTTGAGAAGGAATTCCACTCTCCAAAGCAACAATCCCTGTATATTCTGTCCTGTGGACAATCAAAACAAGTCAGTACACACCAGAGAGATCAAATAACCTATTATATTTGCCTTAGGGATACAGGGTCACAGATACATTCATTAAAATAGTCTCATTCCAAAGCCAAAGGATGATCCAGAGCAATATTATTACCTGGCTCTTGCCTCTTCCTGGGTTTCCCTTTGAGGAGAAACAGGAAAGAGGAGACACTCCCAAATATATTTTTATATGTTCAAGTAACTAAAACATTATATGTGTATTTTGAAATTTTGGATTTTATAAAATAGATGAACTTCTCTGTCTTATTCTTTCCCAACTACATACCCAAAAAAATCAATTCCTTTACTTATTGCCCATCTCATTTCCAAAGCTCATATGCTATCTTGCTCATATTTAGATGGCAGCTTCAATCTTTGAACTTACATTGTATTTCTTCATTAAATTCACAAACAAAAAAATTATAATTCTTCCCAATTTCTACTCATAATGCCTTTAAAAGGTCTTCAGAGGCAAATCTTTTAATTGTGGCCACCTCTGAAGACCCTTGAATTATTTTTATTTGTTTTTTAAGAGTACACATGTTTACAAACATCTTCTCTCTCCCAACTTTTTTCAGAATACAGTAGAAATGAAAATAATGAGCTTAGACCTGTGAATGATTATGTTATCTATACAATATACCATACAATATGCATTATAATATTGAAAGGCTAAACAGTGGTAGAGAGAGGGAGAGATAACGATGGAAGACACCTTGGAATCAGGGTGGAGGTATGCCTCCACTCAGGTCTGTGATTCATGACATGCCAGCAGATGACTTCGAGTTCTCTTCCAGAACCAAGTGTCAAAGGTTAGAGGGGCTCATTTACATGGGAGTTTAACAAAATGGTGTCAATTCACCATGGTCCCTGCTGATGCAGCCCCACAAATCTAATCCTAGTCTTTCCTGCATGCCTTTGAGAGTCAGCCACTTGGTGTCAAGCTAATTGAGGATTACTCATAGTTCTTCCAAACCTCATCCAATACACAGTTACGCAGGCAAGTAGCAAAATTATTTTACTGCTTTTATAATATTCTGTACTACAATCTTCCATTTTAGGAAAGTATCTTTAAGGGACTCTCAGATAACATTCATCCATGTGATCTGCTCTTTGTTTCTAGATCTTTGGAAGATATAGATGTTCTTAAACCATATCCTCTGTAACAGGGTCAAGAAAAAGCCATAAAACCCTCTTTTGTGGATGGAAAAGCCAACTTCTAGCCAGCAACTGAGCCCAAACATATTCCGATGACATCTGCAGTTATGAACTTCTTATCTCTCTATGTCCCTAGAATGAAATGACCAAATACGCTTGAGCTTTCAAGCCAGGTGCAGCTTACCATCTAGATGAAAGAGATTCTGGGTCCTTAGAACCCATTGCTCGTCTTTCTTTCTCCTTTCCCCTTGTGTCCTGCTATACCACGTGATCACTCAAATTAGTCTGATATTTGAGATACAGCCATTGCCAAAAAGTTTATTAGATTGTGATTAGTCTTGTGGTTTATTCGCTAGCCAGTGCACCCCTCCCCATCCTAGTCTCTGAACATGATCACCAAAATGATTTCTGCAAGTATCCTTAACTTTAACTGAATGTTTATGACCCTCCTGGAGTCTTCAAACTGGGGAAAGTTGTTAGGATACTCTTTCCCCATCCAATTGCAAAGTGACGGTGGATCTGTCATACATTTTACATATCAGCCACAGATTCCCCTGTCCTCCCCCTCCCACCTACCTCTGCCTTCCCCCCAGCCCACCCCCCATTCCCATCTCTTCCAGGGCAAAGACTCCCCTGGGGATTCAGCTCAACCTGGTAGATTCAGTCCAGGCAGGTCCAGTCCCCTCCTCCCAGGCTGAGCAAAGCGTCCCTGCATAAGCCCCAGGTTCCAAACAGCCAGCTCATCCACTAAGGACAGGTCCTGGTCCCACTGCCTGGGTGCCTCCTAAACAGTTCAAGCTAATCAAATGTCTCACTTATCCAGAGGGCCTGATCCAGTTGAGGGCTCCTCAGCTATTGGTTCATAGCTCATGTGTTTCCATTCGTTTGGCTATTTGTCCCTGTGCTTTTTCCAATCTTGGTCTCAACGATTCTCGCTCATACAAACCCTTCTCTTTCTCGCCAATTGGACTCCTGGAGTTTCACCTGGAGCCTGGCCATGGATCTTTGCATCCAGTTCCCTCAGTCATTGGATGAGATTTCTAGCACAACAGTTAGGGTGTTTGGCCATCCTATCACCAGAGTAGGTCAATTCGGGCTTTCTCTCGACCATTGCCAGTAGCCTATTGTAGGGGTATCTTTGTGGATTTCTGGGGACCTCTCTAGCACTTTGCTTCTTCCTTTTCTCATGTGGTCTTCATTTATCATGGTCTCTTATTCCTTGTTCTCCCTCTCTGTTCTTGATCCAGCTAGGACCTCCCGCTCCCCTAAGTTCTCTTTCCCTCGAACCTTGCCCTTCATTACCTTATTTGTTGAAATATTTTATCATTTATTATATTGAATTTTTTAAAGAAAATTGTTAGGATAATGCCTAGACATACCGTTTTTCTGCTGTATGTCAGTCTATGAATGGAACACCTTCTTTTTTTTTTTTTTTTTTTTACAAAATTAGCTGAGTGTTCTGCTCCCCACCTCAGGCATCCTTCAAAGATGATTCTTCCAACTTCCCTATGTGCTGGTACACTCCTGCTCCTCATAAAGCAATGAGGTGATTGCTTTCTTTTCTGCTTTCCCGTGCTGTTTTTGACCTATAGATAGAGTCACACCTAACAATATCATTTTTTTTTTTCAGAGAAAGGAGGCATTCCTAAGTGTCAAAGTCCTAACTGAGGTGAGGTTAGTATTTTCTAACACAGGAGTATCTGTTGAGATCCATTCAGGTGCAAGTGACAAAAGGTGACACTCAAAGGATTTTTGTACAATCAAAACATTATTAGCTCATATAACAGTAGGATTCGAAGAAGAGACCCATGTAGATTGCTTATTTCAGGAATATAAGACCCAAGACCCGTCTTGGGTTCTCTGAATGTTATCAGCACTCAGTAAAGCTGCAACAGGGTTGCACAGACTTTTCCTCAGATATTTATACTGAGGGACAGAAACAGAGTAAGTCTTGCCTTAGGTTACTTTGTAAAGTCAAGGAACTCTTTCCTCATCTCAGCCCCAGAAACCCTTCTTTTTGTCCCGTTGACCAAAGGTTAAGTTAGACATCACTCTTGAACCATTCACTGAAGAGTGTGGTTATCACGACTGGCTTACAACAAATACCCAGAGCTGTACCATGTAAAAGCTAATTAATAACAAGTATAGAAAATCCTTTCCCACCAAAATATAGCACTTTGCTCTACATCCCAGCCCTATGAAGATATAACACCGGTATGGGGACACAGAAGCCCAGATAGCTTAAATAACTTACCCAGATCTGATAGTTACTGATGAAGTGGGTATTTATTCCCAGTTTTTCTGCCTCCAAAGGCAAAGTTTTTACCTCTCCCATATGATCTATATTTAATCCCTTTGACCTCCATGATACAGGCTTTTAGAGTAATTCAAAGATGTGTGAAACTTGGAAGAGAGCTCTCACATCCAAGAATAAGGTACCGTGCCCAGTAGATGCTGTTCAGTTTCTTTCTGTCCATTCCACCCTCTCTCTACTCCCCACACAACAGCCTTTCGTTGTCTGAAGAGAGCGATGAAGAAAAGCCTGTGTAGCAGCAGAGCTTTGGCTGTGCTCCCTTCTTTAGGTCCACAGCATTATTAGAGGCTCATATAACCCAGTTTGCCTGAGTTGGAGTGGCAAATTAAGTAACCGCTTTAAATTATAGAGTCTCAGAAATCTGGAGGATATGGGAAATATGAATAAGTTTACTGATGGAGTTTATAGTCAGCCCCAGAAAACACGACTTACCTCCTCATGAGCCACTTGTTCCCTCCGACCAGCCTTCACCACTCCTGTCCACTCCGCTTTTCAGTCTTCTCTTGAATTAGCTCCTTCAAAATTGATCCATAGACCTTTACTACCCTTAACTCCAATAGCCAGACATCATCCCCAACTACTCTTATTGCTACACTTCAAGATTTACATCTTAGGGTCAGGGGCAGGATGCTCTTCCTAGCTCCACCCCAACGATAGCTTAGAGGACAAGCCACCAGCACCCAAAATATCCATCTGAGTACCCATCCTCCTCATTACTTCACCTACTGGCACCTTTCAATTCTTATAGCAACTCTGCCCAATGACATTGGGTATCTTGTGTGCTTCTAGTACTCTTGCAAATATTCTGCCTCGCTAAGGAAAAAAAAGTCCTTAAGTGTAAACACCCCATTTTCTAAGTATTTTGTAGAATAGAATGTATAAAATCTCTAAATAAATTAAAAAACAAAATCATACTTACGGTTAAGCTCTGGCTGACCCCATGCAGAGTGGTCACTGGGATTTTTTTTCCCCACGGATTGAGTAGGCAGACATAATCTTGTTAACACCTCCATTGTATACAAGCTCTAGCAGAACTGAATTTTCCATCCTAATTACTTTTGCTCTTCCTTTCTATATATAAAAAAAGGGAACGTTTTCTCCCATAGTGTCATTTCTACCCCCTGCCAATTCTATGCCTGCCTTATTAAAAGTCTTTTGAATGTATGGTCTACGGGGTGTTTGAAGTTGGGATGGCATTGCAGTGTCAATGGAACACTCCAGTGTGAATTATAAGGGAATAGTCATGGAGGAGATTGTACAGCAAGGTCTGCTTCTTCTGAGTCATAAGCATTAGCATGAGCTGGGAAGGACGGGCAGTTCTTAACCACTCACCACTGCTTCTCAATTATCAAAAAGCAGGGCATGTGAACAATCTTGTGTGAACCTTTCAGTCGCTGACATTCCTGTTGTGTATTTACATGCTTTCATAGAAGAAACACAGGACTTGCACACCTTACCTCCCAGTGAGAACCAGTCACCCCAGTTTTACCAAGTAGTATATTTTTCTATGTATATTTTCCCCAAGACATTAGATTTCAGTGTGTTTGGTTTTTCTTTTTTATCAACACGTTATTGTCTGATTTCTTTATCTTTAAAAAAAAAATTCACTGGATAAAGCTTGAAATGTGTTTTGCAGGAGTGCCCCTGAGATATTTTTAAGAAAGCCCCCGGATCATTCTAACTCACTGTAGTATGAATTATGAATCCAAATAACCTTTTATATTCAAAACATCTACTATTTTTCTAAGGAGGGAATGATTATGATTTTATACGCATGCATTTATTCACTGTTGCTCAACCCCCATATTTTAAAATAAGCCAATAACTCTCTTGATAAAAATTACCATGTGACATTTTTAAAAGGTCAAGATTGCCTGAGATTTTTGAAATTCCCAATGATTTAAATGCTTACAAGGTCCAAGCATGCTTTAACTTTTTAAAATAAGTTTTTGGTTTTCACCCCCAGGGCAGCATTTTGTGCCATTGTGATGGACACACGATGGCTGATGTAACGTTGGTATATTATTTAGGTTAAGGGGGATGAAAACTTGGAGTGTACAGTGCTGTATAAACACAAATCCAACTGTTTTCAAGAGAAAAGCATCGGATTGAAGATGGCTTTCTCAAAATACTTCTCCTGGCTGCCTGTCATCTCTGGAAAGTTCTTTCACTCCTCTTGAGTTCAACACGGGGGTTGAATCTATAGTACAGGCTTTCCACTCACGCAGGGGTGGGGGCTGGGAAATCAAGTCTTCTTAGGCTAACGAATGAGAAATGACGATGCTGCCGGCAGTGATTCAAACACCTCTTTGGCAACTACTTCCCTGAAAACTTGACTGAATCCAAACCTTATCCAAACCTGCCAATCAAGCGTCTGCTGCTTTCATTCAGAGCATCCTGTGTTAAATGGCTGTGGCTTTCAAAGCAGGTGCTACAACACGTAGAAAGAAACACACACCTTCTGTTGCCTCTCAGCTAAGCTCACCAAACATGTCAGAGGACATTAAGTGGTTAGTTTGGTTTTTTTCCCCTTATGTTTTTGAATCTCCACTAACCAGTTTTGCGATCTACCCTCCAGGCAAATTTGATTAAGCAACTCGTTATCCTGATTGGCATTACACGGTTCTTGTAAATAAAAGAACTCCTCTCTGGTTTTTGGAAGGCAAACTTCTTGCATTGAAAAGAAACAAATATTTAATGATCTTTTACTCTTCGACATGGTCTTTTCTTTCTAACATAAGCTGGTGATACTTTTTGTATTCCTATTGGACCACTAGCGAAATTAAATGGCAAGGAACCGTATTTCTGAAAACCTGTAGAAATTTTTTAATGTAATGGCGCAGGCTTGAACAGGTGCCAAGAAAGGGAAAGATGGACTCCTTACTTTTATAACTCAAGATTTCTATTTTGTATCAATATATGCTGCATTTTCTGACTGAAATGGCTGTCTGTCTCACAGGATTTGTGATCTTCTGTCGCTTTTTACATTTGAAATCAAATTTCATACAGTAAGCTTGTTTGTCCCTTTTTGTTTGGGATTCGATTAGAATACTTTGTTTCATTAATTTCTTTTTTATGTGATAAAAAGCAAGTGACTTATGCCTTCATTAACTCAAAAGCTATCTGTGGACAAAATCCATGAAGCCTGTAGACTGTGATTTATATAAATAAAAGGCAGATCTCCCTGTAAACAGTGAATTTGTGAATAAGGAATTGTTCAGTGGCCTCTGACTCCTGCCCCTTTGTCCCTTCATGGCCTTCTTTCTATTCTGAGTCATCCATCAAGTGATTGTGTATTCCTGTAAAATACAAAATCAAATTACATGCTATCAGGTATGGACACGAGAGACGCTTGCGCTCTCAATTTCAGGACTCACAGCTACCCTCCCAGTCACGGGACTGTCCTTCACTCAGCCTTTTCGTTAACAGTGTGGCTTTGCTCTAAAACCCGGCGTTGTTTGCTTTGGTAGACAAGACTGGAACTGTTGCAGCAAATGAAAGACAGAGAACACCTCTGAAAGGCCGGTGTCACAGGCCATCAGCTCTGCTTGTAACTGCGAAACGTCTGAAATGGAACTTATTGCTGTAAATATGTACAATTTATGTCAGCTGATTTCAATAAAAAAATAAAAAAATCAATTACAAATGGCTACGTATAAAAAGTTTCCTTTGTACTATGTTTTAAAACACCCAAGACTCCAGGCATAGCTTTCCACAATTCTTTAGAACGTTTAGGATTCTGAATTTATTGTTTGACAGCTTTTCTGGTAAAAACTGATACAAAGATCAATCCCTGTAGGTAAAATAGATTCTTTGCAGAATTAGTACAAAAAAAAAAAACTGGGAAACAAAAAGGCAGTACGTTAGTGGGAGTTTGTTTCTGCATTACTTTTAAATGCATTCTTTAGGAAACATGCCTTATAAACATGAACAGATGGAGCATTTCTGTGGTGGATGGGGGGAAGGACATGAACAGTTTCCTTGTACTAAAATTGATATCTAACAGAAAGTCAGTAAGCATCCAGTTGTGAGTGGCTTATGTCAATTTTTTTTCTTTTATCTCTGCTGTACACATGAATACTAGAGCTGTCTGTTGGTCTTTCCTCATTTGAAGACCTCTGATTTCCAAACTCATTCTCTCCCCTGAAAAACTGTTGACAATAAAATAATGAACAGACTCAAGTTGTGAAGTCCATTTATCTGTAAATTGATGGCTAGCAAAATAGCTTCCCAATAAGAGTCTAAATTCCAGCCCAGAGACAAGTTTAACATCTATCTAACAAAATAACTGGGAATCACCACTTTATTGGAGCACTGAGTTTCATCCTGAAGGAGGACTTTTTCATGGCATTTGATATTGGCAAACATTCCCAGGATGCTAGTACAACATGGGAGAAGTAAATACCCATCTGATTTTATCTGAATTAGAAAAGGAACAAATATGTGAGTATACATTTAGTAAGAAATGTAAGATAGAAGATCCATGTCTTTTATCTTCCTACACAAAGAAAAATAAAAGTGTTATTAATTCAGCAAGCAACTAGTAGTTATTATGTAAGGGAAATGAGGAAAGGGTAGAGTAACCATGTAAACCTTCTCATTCTCACAGAAAAAGTAACTAAATGAGACTAGGGCAGACCAGCATGACCACACACTCCCAAGGATTACAGAGTCAGCATGGATGTGCCCAGGCAAAACTGAGTGACAGCATCCATCCTCTGCTGGTGTGCAAGAGGACCCTCCGGAGGCCTGGGGATGTCTGTATACAGTCAATGCGTGCTTGTAGTCACTAGGATCCAAGTGATGTCACCTCTGAGTCCATCACATCATTTCTTTTAACCTGGTAATAATTCTGAAAATGTCCAAACACATTCACCTTCCAGGTTCTACATCAGGAGTCTACAACTTGCTCCAGCCAAGGAAGCAGGTAAGGTAACTGCAGATCTTCACAGCGGCCCCCTTCTCCATCAAATCCACCCCGAGTCTCATCCTCAGATCTGTAGCAGACCACCTGCTGCAGTTTCCACTCCCCCCTGCCCCCATCTCTAGTGTATCACACCAATCTCCTCAAACCTTCCTCCTCTCTCATTCTGTTATCCTGGCCCCCAACTCCAGTAGGCATTCCCTGGGGATGTGCCAGTCAAGCCAGAGTAGCAAGGATGCCAGCAAAGCAAGCAGAGGAGCTTCAGATCCTTACTCTTCATCCTCTCCTCTAAATCCAGTCCTTGCGACTCATCCCTAGATCTATATCAGGATACCTGCTGTGACTTCTCCTTACTCTCTGCCCTCCCCAACCCCATTTGCAGAGGACTAAGCAGATGTTGGTGGAACACCCTGCTTTCCTTCCTCCTATGGATCTCCTCAGCCAGTCACCCCGAGTCCAACCCCATTCCTAAGTGTCAGCTCCCAATACCTAGAAACATATTTCACCCAGAAATTACCAGTGGCCACACCTATTAGGATCCCAGAAAAATTCCCTTCCAGGCAATACACAACCACAACACCCTCCAAAGAACCAGAGAGGGCAACAGAAACCAAGAAACAAAACACTAACCCAACAAAGACAAGACCTGACATCAGCACCAAGAATTACAATCACCCCCAAACCCAGATGCTTAGATGCCAAAGTAAAAACACAATCCATAATAGCCAGGATAATATGCCTCCACTAGAGCCCAGCAACCCTACCACAGCAGGCCTTGAGTATTGCAACAGAGCTTCAGTACAGGACAAAGACTTTAAGATAGCATTTGTGAATATGACGGAGATCTTTAAAGAGGAAATGAATGAATCCCTTCAAGAAATTAATGAAGACACAAACAGTGAAAAGAAATGAATAAAACAGTTCAAGACCTGAAAGTGGAAATAGAATCAATAAAGAAAACCCAAACTGAGGAAACCAAGAAACTAAAAATTTAGGAACTCAAACAGGATCCTCAGAGGTAAGACTCATCAACAGAAATCAAGAGATGGAAGAGAGAATCTCAGGTATTGAAGAACACAATAGAAGAAATAGATACCTCAGTCAAAGAAAATGTTAAATCAGAAAAAATCCTGGCACAAAACATCCAGGAACTCTGGGACACTATGAAAAGATCAAAGCTAAGAACAATAAGAATAGAGTAAGGAGAAGAAATCCAGGGCAAAGGCACAAAAAATATCTTTAACAAAATCATAGAAGAAAACTTCCCTAACCTTAAGAAGGAATTGCCTATCTAGGTACAAGAAGCATAAAGAACACCAAATAGACTGGACCATAAAAGAAAACCCTCTTGACACATAATAATCAAAACACTAAAAGTATAGAACATAGAAACAGTATTTTAAAACTGCAGGGGAAAAAGACCAAAAAACATAAAAAGGCGGACCTATCAGAATGACACCTGACTTCTCAATGAAGACTTTGGTGGTTTAAAAGAAAATGCCCCCCAAAGGGAGTGGCACTATTAGGAGTTATGGCTTTGTCAGAGTAGGTGTGGTCTTGTTGGAGGAAGTGTGTCATTGTGGAGGTGGCTTTGGGGGGGTGGTCATATATGTCAAACCACGCCCAGTGAGACAGTCTACTTCCTGTTGCCTGCATATCAACATGTAGCAGCTCTTTCTCCAGCACCATCTCTGCTTGCAGCCACCATGCCCCCCGCCATGATGATAATGGACTGAACCTCTGGAACTGTAAGCTGCCACCTCAATTAAGTGTTTATCTTTATAAGAGTTGCTGTGATCATGGTGTCTCATCACAGTAATAGAAACCCTAACTAAGACAGAGACTCAAAAAGCCAGAAGGGCCTGGATAGATGTTCCACAAACATGGGCCCAGACTACTATACCCAGCAAAACTTTTAATCACAATAAATGGAGAAAATAAGGCATTCCCACAATAAAATCAAGATTAAACAATACCCATCAACAAATCCAGCCCTACAGAAGGTGCTAGAAGGAAAACTTCAATCTAAAGAGGTTAACTATACCCAAGAAAACACAAAGAATAAGTAATCCCAGACCAGAAAAAAAGGGGGGATGGACCTACACAACAACAACAATAAACAAAATAACAGGAATCAACAAACACTGCTCACAGATGACTCAGTATCCACTGTTCCAACAACACAAATGCTAAGAAAGCCGATAGCAACCTGTTGCTGCTAAAGATGTCAAATGAACAGACACCAGCAAGACTCAGAATCAGAAGACCCAGACTTTCATTCTTCCCCAGCACCACAGACATGCCAAGACAACAACACAACACATAAATCAGCTCCCTTGATTAGCAATTAAAATTCAGTTAAGACTCCTAAAGGCATTCTGCTATACCCATAGATCAGTATCTGACTTGGCCCTCATCAGAACAGCTTTCTTCTGCAGTAGATGGGAACTAATACGAGACCCACAACTGGACAGTATGCAGTGAGTGAAAGATCTTGGACCACTCAGTCCTAAATGGCATGTCTTCATCAAACCCCTCCCCTCACAGCTCAGGGAAGTCTGTGGAAGAGGAGATGGAAATATGTGTAAAAGCCAGAGCGCATGGACGACACCAAGGAAACCATGTCTTCCAGACACAGTAGGACTGAGGCACATATGAATTCAGAGACTGCGGCAGCGTGCACAGGACTTGCACAGATCCAAACCAGATGTGCTCTCAGTGCAGAGATGGGGAGGCAGACATGAGCTCCCATCCCCATCAAAGACGCTAACTCCAATTAACAACCACAAGCAAAATAAAAATTAGTTTCTCCAAGAAAGTCTCACTGAGTACACAAACCATGCTTAAAGGCAAGCCCCATGACCAGCAGTAGATAGCCAACTCAAAATGAACTCAAAAGCATTTTGGAACTTTTTTTTGGGGGGGGGGTGTCACATATTGTTTTATTTGCCTTTCTTTCTTTCTTTCTGTCTGTCTGTCTTTCTTTATTTCTTCCTTTCTTTCTTTACCCTTACTGGTTTTTGGTTATATATTATGGTTTCTGATTTTGAGTTTTTATGCTGTGTGTGTACAAGAGTGCACACATTCTAGTGCTCTTTCTTAGTTTCTTTTTCGTTTTCTTAGTTTGTTTTGTTTTACCCTTTTTTGTTTTTCTTTTTTGTTTGTTTGTTTTTTTAGGGGAGAGAGAGAAAGAAGGCATGGATTGGAAGTGTGGAGAGATGGGGAGGATCTGGGAGGGAAGGAGGGGAAACCATGCATAATATATTGTATGAAAATCACTTTATTTTCAATTAAAAAATTAAATAAAATTCAGTTTAGAGGAATCTGGACCATGGGCCAGAACAAAACTACTGTCTCCAGTAGCAAAATTCCTGGCAATCACGTGCCTTTGTTCATCCTGCATTTCATGGGGACCAGCAGGCAGAGAGTCCTTGTTCCTGGTTTCTCCCGGTGAAGGGGAACACCAGCATACATCCAACATGGTGCACTTTGTAAGACTGCCCCAGTGACAGGTTTCTGTCTCAGAGAGTGGACAGGCCACGATGTGTCTAGATGTCAGGGCCCTGCTGAGAACAAAAGACAGCAGACTGCTTCTGCTGCTCCAGGAGCCCACAGTGCAGAAGAGATCGATAAAGACCAGTCGCCTGTCACTGTGAGTGACAGGGAACAGAAGCGCATGTGGCTGATGTTCTGGCTTCTCAGAGCTGTCCAAGATGATCTCTCTTGACTTAGAGTCCTGACAAGACCCAGAATAGTACAGAGGCCAGAGGGCTCGGAAGAGACTAGCAGGAGAGGGGGTGGTTTGCCGCAGCCCTCAGGAAACTGCAGTACCAAAGTCAGACACCAGAGGGAACCAGAATTTGAGCACCCTGACAAAGCCACCAATTCCTCTAACTGGGAATTTGCAAGACAACACACACACACACACACACACATACACACACACACACACACACACACACACACACACACACACACACACACACATGAAAGATTTTTATAGGAAGAAAAAAGTTCAACCATTCACAAATATATGACAATGATATACACATGTGTACTGAACATAAGAGCACATAAATATCAAATACTGACAGAGCTAACAGGAAAAACAGCAATACAATAGGATTCAATTACCCCATTTTAATACACACACACACACACACACACACACACACACACACACACAAGGCATTGGCTGTTTCTTCAATAAACAGTCTGACTATGTAATCCAACAGCTATGCTCCTATGCATTACCCAG